TTCTGTAATCGCATTATGTATATTTAAGGCAACTCGCTTTTGCAACAAAAGATATGGAGGTACATTATGTAAGAAATATCCTGCTATAAAATGTGCTTTAATATAATTAATTTAAGTACAAATGTGTGCCAGCGTATTATAACGCTAAAGAACTGTGAATAACTTTATATACTGTTGTCAGATAGTATAAATTTACTTGTATATTTTGTATAACGTTACATATTATAATGTGTATCACACAGGGACATTATAGTATGTAACGTCGTTTTCATTACTGAAAACATAATGTTAATCATACGCCTATTCTTATATTTGACAAGTGCAATAACATTTCTTTTCTCAAGTTAAATTATGGACGAGACACAGTCAGTGTATGAATTCGTTTAGCGCAATTACTTTTATTGAACGGAATAAATCGTTATTGCACTTATACTTGATTTGTAAACCACATATGCACATATGGTATACAAGCTTATATGAAAGACGTCCATTTTTAAATGTATTACAATGTAAATTTTCACTCCTTCCAATTTCATCTTTACGAAGTATATAAATTACATTGTGTCTTAATGAAAAAGAATAAAAATATATTCGTAGGAAATAATTAATAGAAACTTTATTAACATTACATATAATTTTTGTAACATCATTTCTTTAATTTCTTTTTCAAAGTAGCCTTTGTCATTTTCTTTCCTACTCGTTTTTTCACACTCTTCTTCATATTTATTTTATTATTCTGTTGCTGATTTTCCTGTGACTCCTTTTCTTCCTCCTCTCGTAATTCTAATGCTTTCTCTAATGGATCACCTTTAAATATTTCATCCAATGGATTCAATGCGTATGATTCTTTTGGTTTGTTAATTTCTTGTGCCATTTTCTGCTCCACCTTGTTTATATATTTACCAGCAGCTTTTTTGTTTAAAGATTGTCGAAACTGTACATGAACAAATTATAATTCATCAATATTACAGTCTTAGTTCTATTATATATATATATATATAGAGATCTAACAAAAATTCAGGTTTATATACCTTGGCAGGGGAGATATAAGTTGGATTATCCCAGAGAACTTCACCACCAAAGCTATCAGCAAATATTTTTATTGGATTTAATACAAATCTTGGACCTATTTCGGCCAAACCACCATCCTCCGTCAAAATTTGGAAATTCCTAAACCATATTCTATTATCTAGTATAGAAAATGTATATACATGGTCAAAGAATGGTTGACTCTTGGGATGATGATTTGGAACCCCAAAGATTTGAACGAACAACTCTTTTAGAAGACTGTAATGTGGTTTTGTATTGAAGTTCTCATCAAACGATAACATAGGCCTAGATCCTTTTAAACAATTTCCAGTCATCTTTAATTCAGCCATTGTGTAAACTGTAACGAAATCATTTCATTTATCTGCATTATTATTTAATACTAACAAAATTTGGGATTATGAATTAGAATACGTACTGTTTTCAACAAGAAATTTTGCACATGGTCCTGTAGCTACATTAGAGAACCATAAGTACAGATCCTTCTTCCTTCTGCCTTCAAATAATATAGTTTTGTTACAATTCTTCATTTCACACATTTCATTTATCACTTGCAAGTTTTTAGTACGTTCCATTTTAGACTCTGGCCGATGATGAGGCATGAGAGTTTTTATGTCATCCATAAGGTGACGATGTCTATAACTGATTCCCCGCGTAGCAAAAACTAGCACTCTTTGTTTATTGATCCATTTCACCTGAATTATAAAATGAAAATGTTAAATTTGCGTTAGGATATTGCAAACTCTAAACCTTTCAAAAGGAATGAGAACAATTTTCAAACCTTCTTCTGTGGTGGCTCGTCTGATATTCTTGTCGCTGGCAAAACTTCCGCATTCGATACATTTTCCTTATCAGGACCGTCAATTTGTTTACGTTTCAATCCTTTTTTAGTCATTGTTAGTTCAATTTCATACAAATGGAAAGAATATTTCAATGTAGAGGTTAGTCGAAACCACGTCGAAACATTCTTCTGGCAACATGCGGTGCGGCAACATTATAGTGCGAGTGCGACACAGCTGCTGCCAGTCTGCCCGCATAAACTGTTTACTGTGTACTTGAGACAAAGAGGAAATTTTTTTTCTTGAATTGAAGACTGCAAGTGCAATTGAGTTTAACAAAGCAACAAATGATGATCAAAGCAATTTTGATGAATATAATTAATAGATGAAATAAGTTAAATAATGCAATGGCTTTACGCATAATTTTCTTGTTTCTTTTAACTGTTCACAATGGAATTTGTTTTGAAAATTTCAAACCAAACATAGGTGAGTATAAGAACTCTAAATCCTCGATATAGAAATAATTCTTAATCTATGTTTTTCTTTTGTAGCGATTATTGGCGGTGGTATTGGTGGTGCATCGTGTTCTCATTTTCTTACTGAATTATTTAATAATAATCTTAACATCGATTTGTACGAAGCTAAAACCATTGGCGGCCGTTTGGCTACGGTAGAAGTTGATAATAATGAATTCGAGGCTGGAGGTTCAATAATACATCCACAGAATAAATATATGCAAGAATTTGTCAAGCTGCTTGGTACTGCATATAATATTTACTTATTTTTATTGTACATTTACGTTTCCATAAATATTTCAATTGTCAACTTATACTTTGGTAGGTTTGGAGCACAGACCATCCACTGACCAAATAGCAAGCATATGGAATGGTGATGAAATTGTATTTGAAGAGAGCAGATGGGAATTACTGTCGTTGTCTAAATTAATTTATAGATACGGTATACAACCATTTAGTCTCAACAGGTATTTTTATATACTTTAACAAAATTATGTACCAAAGGGCATTACATTTATGTGATATTAACATAATTAAATACAAACAGACATGTAGCTTCCATAGTGAGTTCCTTTGAGAATATATACCACCTACAAGATACTGGAAATGCTTACACGAACATCAGCAGTTTATTATCAGCAATGAATATTAAATTTCCACAATTATTAGAAACGTCTATTAAAACTGAACTCCTGAATTTGGGTTACTCAGAGAAAGTAATCGACGAAATTGTTAAAACGTCTCTGGTAGTAAACTATGGGCAAGATACAAATGTTCACAGCTTTGTCGGCTTTGTATCTTTAGCTGGTGTCGGTTCGCACTTGTGGTCTGTTAAAGGAGGAAATAAAAAGGTCAGTCTTTCATTAAATTTTATAGGTGTGCTTTTAATTCAATAATATATATGTATCTGTTTTAGGTACCTGAACATTTAATATACAGAAATAAGTACGTAAATGTCGTTCCGTCGCGTGTAATTAAAATTGTTAATATACCGACAAATAGTAGTAGAAGCCTATACGAAGTGCATTATCATAATGAAGGTATAATATGATCATGCACCTAATTGTAACTACATGCTTAATCACTAATTTCTATTTCAGACAGCAAAATTATCATGAAGGCAATGTACGACGTTGTAATTCTGGCGACTCCTCTTACGCACGATCAACCGTATCCTATAACTTTTGAAGGTTTTCCAAAAAACGATTTTTATAATTTGGAAAAATACCATGAGACCATAGCTACGTTTGTCGAAGGAGATTTAAAGCCACATTATTTCGGTCTACAAGAGGAATTAGATGTTATTTTGAGTTGTGATCCTAATAAAACGATAATCAGCTCTTTAGGGAGACTGAATTCAGTAGAAGGTACTATGAAAAACAGCAAAGTTTGGAAAGTGTTCAGTAACGAACCTTTAAATTCAGCAACTGTAAATGACATGTTTACGAACGTAAGACCATTTTACAATACTTTTATAAATTGTAATATGCGATTAAAATTTAAAATGTGTGACGTTATTTAGGTCCAGAAAATGAAACAGGTCGCTTGGAAAGCTTATCCTGAATACTCGACGAGAGCTGACGAGGCGCAATTCAAATTACATAATGCGCTTTATCATGTCAATGCTATCGAATGGACCGCTAGCGCGATGGAGATGAGTGCAATAGGTGGAAGGAATGTTGCGTTGTTGGTACATAAAGATTTCTCTAAGAAGTTTTGTTGTACAGAGGATGTACAAAAAGTTACTCCGTCTAGTGAACTGTAAAGTAATACAGTATTATTACGTCTCTCGGGGATGTGAATTTGGGATACTGATCCTGGAATGATGAATAGTCGAGACAGGTTCGATGTAGAATGGTAGAGGTGGGATTGGAAGAAAAAAATACTATTACATGTTACAAAATGCTATTCTAGTTTTGTATAATATTTGCACAAAATATACGTTTCCCAATAAACTACTGCAATTTTACTTATACTATTTCACGCATGACTTCAATAATGTAATTAAGAACAGCTACTTAAAATGTTCATATATTTCAATTCTTTTTAAGATACGTTGCATAAAGATATACAGAAATATGTGTGCGGAATAAATTAAAATGTTCACTTTACTTATATAATATTTAAATAGTTTAAATCGAATGTAGTTGTAGGATGCGAGGAACATTATATGTAGTGAGTACACAGACACGTACATGGTAAAGTTTGTAAAAAATTTGTAAGAAAATTCGATTGTTCTAATATAACTATTCTCAAAAAATAGTAACGGTATTATATCTAATACAGTAGCATTTTTATGTTACATAATATATAAAATGTTCAATGCAAATCGAAATCAGTAAGACATAACCTACTTCGAAAGAATAACAAACGTCTACATCGTACTACGACCAGTTACGACTTAATCAAATGTAACTGAAGATGTGATCTCACCGGCAAGATATCACCTGTCAAATTGCGCGTTATGTTCTAAGTATCTTATTAGAAAATAAGCTGTATGTAATGGAAAATCATTCCGTTCGTATAAATTACACGCTAATACCTCGCGATACGGAACAACCATTGATACATGATAATCAAACTAAGCCACATGAAGGGGATATTAAGAAACACGAGGAAACGACAATGACAACTGAATCAATGGGTGGATTGCTTTATCCCAGAGCTATGTTATTTTTAGTATTATGGTACATCATCAGCGGATGCACTTTATTTTTTAATAAATACATATTATCTTATATGGAGGGTAATCCTACAATTTTGGGTAAATAAATTTGTAATCAACAGCTAAACAAATGCGAAATATTTATTGCCGGCTTATTGCTTCAATGTTTAGAATTATTTATTCTATTCTGTAAACAGGTGCTAGTCAAATGTTAATGACTACAGTTTGTGGATTTATTCAAATGTATATTCCTTGTGGAATGTATAAAGCACGTCCCAGATTAGTGAGACCAGCAGGTTTTTACAAACATATGACTTTGGTAGGATGTACAAGATTTACAACAGTAGTACTAGGTTTAGTATCACTCAATTATGTAGCTGTGAGTTTTACAGAAACGATTAAAAGCAGTGCACCCCTTTTTACCGTCCTTATCAGCAGATATTTATTAGGTATGAATCAATGCGTATCATAATCTACAATTACGAATTGTACTATATTAACATAACAATTCTAATCTATTGTTTGTAGGAGAGCACACAGGGTTGTACGTAAATTTATCTTTAGTACCTGTAATGGTCGGGCTAGCTTTATGTTCAATAAATGAAATTAGCTTCGACCTGAGAGGATTCATTGCTGCTATGGCTACAAACGTAACAGAATGTTTGCAAAATGTTTATTCTAAAATGTTAATCAGTGGTGATAATTTTAGATATACGTAAGTATTGTATATAAGTTTTATTGAAATGTCTTACTCATTCTTCAATGTCCATGTGTTGAATTACAGGCCTGCAGAGCTGCAATTTTATACTAGTCTAGCATCAATTGTGGTACAAATACCAGTGTTAATATTGTTTGTAGATTTGCCAGCACTTGAACATTCTTTAAGTTTTAAATTATTCACAGCCTTTCTTCTCAACGGAGTGTTCTTTCATTTTCAAAGCATCACCGCATATGTACTTATGGATTACATTAGCCCTGTGACGCACAGGTATTACGTGTTTTATGCTTTTTCACAATTTACGAAGTAATCAATAATGGATGTTTTAATAGTTGTTCGTTAAAAATATCGTTCTTTATTGCAGCGTCGTTAATACAGCGAAGAGAGCTTCATTGATATGGTTCTCCGTTTTACTATTTAATAATCCAGTAACTGGTTTATCAGCTATTGGAACGTCCTTAGTGATAATAGGAGTACTGTTGTACAATCGAGCACAAGAATATGATAAGCTGAACAAAGCGAAATCACGATACAATTCTAAAGTTAATTTACAATAATTTTATTTAGTAAACTGAAGCTTTATAAATATTTGTATTAAATATATTATGTCACGAACAGTTCAA